TTATTTATTTATTTCTTAAACAAGAAGTTCTTTGTTTTTCATGAATTTGAACCATAATCTTTTACTTTAGAGGAGATACACTGTGTTATATCAGTCGATGGTTTAAAGTAATATATGAATTTACAATATAATTTCAAAACAATCAAATTATGGCCATACTATACCAAAAAAATTGTCAAAAAAAAGTACTTTTATATTCTACTTTTTGAGGGGTAATTTTAAGGCAATTATTAATAATTTTTTTAACGCATTTTTTATATACAGATTTTTTTTAAAGGTAATTATACAATTTCATTTATTATAAAAAATCAAATGGTTTGTAATTTTTGGCTTTACTTGGTTTGTAATTAAAAGAACAGAAATAAAAAATTGTACAAAAAATAATTTAATTTTTTAAAACTTAGTTATAAAAAGACTATCTTTTATTATTCTTTAGAAATTATTTTCAGTTCTTTGAATTTTTTTCATAGTTATATATTTTATAAGTCCCAGTTAAAATGTAGTTTAAGTTTGCCATTTTCTTCGGCGCACTCTCTTCTACACTCGCGGCACTCACCCTCTCTCTCTATATCTCCCGAGAGTTCCAACAATCACCATGAGTCCGTGGTCGTGAAGAAGACAGCCGAGCTTGTGCCGACGAGCTTGCAGTTTCTCTCTCCTATACGATAAATTCTTCAACAGAGACGACACTTCCTCTGGTAGTTTCTTCCTTCTTGTCTCCTACCCCTATGTAATGTGGATTCATATATTTCTGTTCTCTGTTAATTTATGGTTCTCTATCGAAAATCTATTGCTGATTGATTTATGGGAATCGACTCATTTCTTTCTGGTCTTTCTATATATGAATTGTTATGGTGTATTCTCCAATTGAAATAATCTGCCGACATTTGTGCGAATTTATATGTAAATTTCAACATAAGTAGGTGATGAATTCCCTTACATTTAGGTTTTCTCTTATATTCAGCCTCTTATTTAAGAATCTGAACCCTAGTTCCTTGATCCTAACCCTTTTCCTACCATTTCACCCTTTGATTTAAGAATCTGAACCCTAAGTTACTTGATGGTCAGATATTCATTGGCAAATGTATGCAACTCTACCTTATCCATAAAAAGGGAAAATTAAATTAAATTTTGGTGATCAAAATTAAAAAAAAAGATTTGCTTTAGGGTGACCTTAAACTCAAAAAAAAAAGGATAAATAGTAATCAAACTTAAGAAATAATTGCCTTTCTAAGTGAGCACACGCTCATGTAATCCTCTTCGTCTGCCACATGAATGTTTGCAGTGTCCAACCCACCCCTTCCCCTCACCTCTCTCTTCTTCTGCTTTTCCCTCCCCACGTCGGGCAGAAGCTCCCCGGAAAAGGAATCTCAATCCCAATCGCAGGAATTGATATTGGTGATGCCGAGAATAATTGATTTTGGAAAATAATGGTAGCTTTTGGAAATTATGAGAATGCAAGGAAGTTGAGGATGTTTTTGGGCATTAGTAGAGTTGTTGTTTGAGACCAAAGGACCAATTGGCCCAGTGGTATCACCCCTTCCTCTCCAAAGGGAGAGGTCGGGGGTTCGAACCTCAGTGGAGGTAGGGTGTGTGCGTAATTGCTTTAACTTCCAAAAAAAAAAAAAAAGAGAGTTCTTGTTTGAGGATGACCATTTATTGGGTTTGTAGTATGAGCGGAGACCATGTCGTGCCTGAAATGATCTTTTCATCATCATGATGCTTGAAGCCATTATATTATTGTTGTAGCTTCATTGGGGAAGAGAAAAATGAGAAATGGTTGAGTTTCTTCTCATGGTAACCATTATATATTTATATATATATGTGTGTGTGTGTGTGTGTTGGGGGGGGGGGGGGGGGGGGGGGTTGGATTATATAGAGGAATTGATATTTTTGATACTTTAGTGCACCATGAATTTTTTAGTCAAAGTGCAAGAGAATGGGGACAATTAACAAACATGATATGCATGTTTGAGCAAGAAACCCCTTGAAATACTATTTAGACAATGAGCACCTTTGATTATCCCGTTCTATACAAAAAAAAAAAAAAAACCCTTGCCGTCATTGTACCGTTGAGAAGCTAATGGTTTAATGCGGTTTGACTGTCACGTGACTAGTTATGATACTTTAAAAGAAAAAAAGGCCCTTCTGACTGTTAATTGCAAATTTAAAAACTGTAATCAATCTTCTTCTTCAAAACACTCTCTTCCTCACATTTTCACCTCTGTGTGTGTGTGTGTGTGTGTGTGTGCATGTGGTTCTCCAGCCATTTGATGGGAAAGAATTCAACTTTACTAAAGTTGGCAGGAAGAGTTGCTAATCTAGTTTGAAGCAACTGAAGACGATCAAGTCCAGTTCTTCCCCAGTGCACCCATTGATGTCTAGAACTCTCCAAGTGTTGTTGCCATAAATGTATGTACTCCCTTTTTTGTACTTCGTTTCCTAAAGAACTTATATTTGGAGGAAAGTTGCAGTAAGCTGGTCTTTGTTAGTCCCATTGAATATGGGCATGTTCTTTTGATCCCATGGATTCTCGAGTGCTTGCCACATATGATTGATCGTGACTAAATCCCATTTAGTTTTTGGCTACATGGGTTCAAGACTAAAGGAGATTTTGGTCCTTAATAACCAGCTCACAATCGCTGTTTTGTCTCCCGGATCTCTCTCCATCGCCTCCTTCAAAATCCACATGCCCCCCCCCCCCCCCCCCCCCCTCTCTCCCTCTCTCTTTCACACACCTCCACTGCTTCTCTCTCCTGTGTTTCACTCAACCCCAACCTCTGCCACTCCGTCACCATCATTTTACCTTCAATTTCATTCGAAAAAATAAAAACCCTAATGAGATAATTTTGTCTAAAATGGGGAAAAAAAAAAAAAATTCAAAACCCTAATTTCTCTATTCCAATACAAACTCCATGAAAGAAACAATGAAATCTGGCACCAAAAAAAAAAATTCCAGTGGATGAAATTGGTCACGACAGCGGAAGAGAGAATTGGAGAAATTGAATTTGGAGAATAGTCGAGTGATTTCGAAGCATCAAGGAGTGAATGTACTTGTGTTAGTGAGGTAGAATTGGATGAAAGTGAGAAATCCATTGTTTGAGATAAGTAAAGATGAGACATCGATTGAATTAGGTACTAGTTTCACTCTTTAGCTTGGAATGATGACCTTTTCTCTCCATTTCTTCATGGTGTTGATTTGGGTTTTAATTGGAAGAAATGGTGGTGATGAATGGTTTAACTGTGGTGGGTTGATGAGACAATGTGATAAGGTGGGGCTGGGTTGGCACCATGAAATTGGACATTCTGATTTCTTCATTACACATCAAACTTTAGTGGATTACAGGGCAAAAGGGTCATTTCACTTTTTTGTTAACGGTAGTTGATGGTCTTGACCTAATTATATATTTCATTTAGATTAAGGGGGTATTTTGTAGTTTAGGAGGTTATTTGCCAAAGAAAGAAAGTTCAAGGGATTTTTGCAATTAACCCCAATTAATATGATAAAACATGTGCATAAATTATCAATACTCAATAAATAAACTCTCTTGAGATGGAGGGAAAATTTTATTTTATTTTTTTGTTTTTTAAATTTTATTTTATTTAATTTTTTCACTCATATAGGGTAACTTTTTTTGTGATATACATGTTACATATGTCATTATTCATAATTTTCTTAGTGCTTTTTAATTATATTATCATTTTTCATTTATTTTAATTTTTCAAATTTATTAATTGTCTTACTTTTAATTCTCAAATATTACATATAGCATGAATTTTCATTTATTTCATACTCAAAATTATTTTTATTCGTTAATTTAGTAAAAACTATAATTACTAAGCCTTTTCAATAACCATGATGACTTAGAATTCATAAATAGGTCACTACTTGTGTTAAATAGTGTTAATAAATATGTCTAAAATTCACTTAAAACTCATTTTTATTGAATTATATTGTGAAAGGTAGAGTACGAGTGCATTTTGGGGCTTATGTATGAGGTTGACAAAAATTCATGACTTAGCTAACAAGTTTGTTAGTTATGCTTGCACAGGCCCACGTCAGTGGCCCCATCCGCGTATGCAAATTATGGTAACAATTCTCAATTTGTAGTTGCCACAGAGTCAGCATGCAAACTTTAGCAACATAATTATGGATAATTCTTTGATTTTCTACTCTTACACTTCTGCTCTCACTACATTATCAACTTCTAGGCAAACATTGTAATTTTTGTCATGAAAAATATGCTACATCCTATCCATAAGAAGTCTGACTACATACACTATGAATTCATTTTTAATGCTTAACAACTATTTTCCTAGCATTGCACTCAGACAATAAACCTCCAAAGCAAGTCTGCAAGTCATTGCAGCTTTCTCCACCTTCTTGTTTGAGTGATAGATATGAAATAGTTTCTGTTTCGCAAAAAAACATTGTACGGATACAGAAGTGTGTTTGAACATGCACTCCCTATGCTATGTGTTCTCAGCTACTTTTTAATTCTTCATCTCCTCTTCTCCTTTGTTCAAATCCTTAAATATGCATTCCTGATAACATGCAGTTCTGCAAGAATGTCTCTGATATACATTCTTTGTCTTGGCAATTCAGCAGAACATATGACTCCAATATGAAGAATCGATGCCAAACAATTTTCTAATGCACCAATGTTACCTCTTCCCCTTTCTTCATCTCTTCTCGACTCATCTTCCTGCTCTTGTACTAGTAAGGGGTCAACAATCTCTGTCACCTGGGCTGGCAGGGCCATCTTGGCGTAGTTCTGGAGGCTAAAATAATCCATAAATATGCCCTTGGTGGGCTTTTTTCTGGTAAACATCTCTAGTAAGACGATTCCGTAGCTGTATATATCACCTTGTGTTGATACCTCCCCACCAAAACCATACTCTGCAGTTAGAAAGAATTAAGAGGGGTTGAAACTTGTAAACTTTATATTACCTAACTTCTGTTTCTTTGAAATAATGTAATTAGTTTCATACTCATATCTTAACATGACATCACCATGTCACCAAAGTAGAATATTGTTTCTCAGTAGATTTGAAGAAAGGATAATAAGTGGACAACAAATTACCTGGAGCGATGTATCCTACTGTTCCATTTATCCCACTTGAACTCTTTTGTCCATGACTTGGATTACTTGCGGAGGCGAAAAGAAACCTTGAAAGGCCAAAATCACCTACATGGGCACAGAGGTTGTCATCTAGGAGAATGTTGCTTGGCTTTAAGTCGCAATGGACAATTGGTGTTTCACAATGATTGTGAAGATAATCCAATGCAGAGGCCACATCGATGGCAATATTTAGCATCTGGACTAAGTTTAGGCTCTTTGAGTGATGCAGATCAGATGAATTTGGATGTAGCCAACTTTCTAAACTCCTATTTGGCATGAACTTGTAAACCAAAGCGCTGAAATCGTTGCCCTTAAAATCTATGCTTGTGCAAGATGTAATGAGCTTGATGATATTGCGATGACGAATGTTCCTCAATGCCTCACATTCAGCCATAAAGCACTTTTTGGCTCCATCTTGTTGGAGGTTTGAAACCTTCACAGCAACAGTTTGTTCATAACTGTTGGGGGTCCCTTTATAAACTGAACCATATGTTCCATCACCAATTAAGCTGGCTGGAGAGAACCCATTGGTAGCTTGAAGAAGTTCTGCATAAGAATGTTTTGGATACTGGATCATCTTCATTGGTAAGGCCAAATTGGGTTCCTGTTTGTGCCTTCTGATTAGGTAAAGAATAGCACCACCACATGCTATTGACAAAATACCTAGCACAACACTAGTCACAAGATTTTTTTTATGAGCAGAAGACTTTCCTTGTTTCTTTGAGACTGTGGTAGGACATGCAGGCAATTGCAATGCCTCAATTCCTCCACACAGCTTGTTATTTCCCTCAACTGAAATCACACTAATGTTCATAAAGATTCCTTCCTTTAGAACTTCACCCTCGAACATATTATACGAAAGATTGAGTTTTTTAATAAAAACATACTCACCAAGAAACCTTGGAATCTGCCCTGACAAATTATTACCAGAAAGATCTACGACTTGAATGCCTTTTAATAGTTCAAAAGATGAAGGTATATTTCCTCTGAAGGAATTGCCTCGTGCGTTGAGGGATTCCAATTTCAGACAATCGCCAAGAGTACTTGGAATTTCACCAGAGAGCTTGTTTTCTGAAATGTCCAACACCTCAAGATTTTTCATGTTGCCCACTTGCGGTGGTAATGATCCTGTCAAATGATTTCTAGCTAAGTAGAGCCAACGTGTATTGGAAGACAGATGGAAAATTTGTTCAGGTATGGGACCAGTGAGGTGATTGTGTGAAAGATTTAGCACTTCCAAGTTTCTGCAATTTCCCAAGGAAGCTGGTATGCTTTCTTCTAGCACATTTTCTTGTAAAGCAAGTACGCTTAGTCGAGTAATGTTGCCAATAGAGGTTGGAATTCTTCCAGAGATTTTGTTTGCTGAAATATTGAGTCTATTCAACCTGGTAAGTTTTCCAATGGAATCTGGAATACTACCTGTGAGCATGTTATTGTTTAAGTTGAGCACGACCAAGTTGACAAGGTTGACAATCCCAACAGGTATGCTTCCAGATATATAGTTCCCTTGCAAATACAGTGATGTGAGAGTGGTGGATAGATTCGCAATAGAATTTGGCAACATACCTCCAATGTGAATTTCATATAAACTCAGTAGTCTCAACTTGGTGCAGTTGGTGAAAGAGGTCAGAAAGCTGAAGTCTTTGCTTCTGTCAGTTCGCAGTGGATTACCGCCTAAATGTAACACTTGTAGTTCATGAAGGCTTCCCAAATCCAGTGGTATTGGCCCATTAAAAGCATTTCCTCCAAGAATGATTATCACAATTCCGGCAGCATTTGCTAGTGATGCAGGAATGGATTCAAAAAATCTGTTTCTTTCAGCGAAAATTGAGTGGAGCTTTGGGAAATTCAGGCCTAAGCTAGATGGAAGATGTCCAATTAACAGATTGTGGTTAACAGCTAAGATTTTGATGGAAGAGATGTTGTAGAGCTGTGCAGGAATTGTACCGGACAATTGATTTGAAGTCACCTGGAAGACTTCTAAGTTAAAAAGCTTTCCAAGATCAACAAGAATGCTTCCTTGTAGATTGTTAGTAGATAGACTGAGAAAGCACAGCGAGGTGAGATTCCCCAATGACGGTGGAATTTTTCCAGAGAAGTGATTTCTGGAAAGACTCAATTGTTGGAGCTTGGACAAGGTGTTGAACTCGACAAGAATTGTTCCTTCAAGATCATTTCCGTTTACATCAATGACTTCAAGGTCAGAACGAGTCAGGTTAGTCGGAATCATCCCATGAAAGGAGTTGTTGGCTAGAAGAAGATATTGGAGGCGAGTCAATCTGCCGATTTCTTCAGGGATGGTGCCATGGAAGTTGTTGTCCTCAAGATTGATCACACTAAGGAAAGTTATATTTCCTATGTAAGGAGACAATGAACCTACCATTTTGTGCAATGACATGTTTAGGCCGGTCACCCTTTGATTCTGTTGACTGCATGTGACTCCATGCCAATTGCAGAAGAATCACTCCACAAGCTTAGAACCAGGGAAAGATCTTCCTGTATTTGATTCTTGATGGCAAGCAAGGCTTCGTGTCTCATTTGTGTGACGAAAAGTGTTGGTTGTAGCTGATTTAGCAGAGTGAATGTTAAGGTGGAGAACTGAAATGAGAGAGAAAGATGAGCATAGTAGCCTGAGAAACATGTTGATTTGCTCAATTTAGTGTCAAAATGTAGAGGAAATTAGCTAAACAGTGGGCTTTATGCACAAGTCATAGATAAGCTTATAAACTAACCACAATTTTTTGTGTCAAGGCAATACACTTGCACTATCAATTCTCGTGGTTCCCACTTCTAGAACGTGAGTTTGTCATGATGCAATCACCTGGATTAGTAAATTGACTTTGGTAGAAATTGAAGATGTCAAAAGTGGGTTTGTGTTGATTTTGGTAGTGTGTGTTTGGGGGTTGAAAGTAACCATTAGCTTCCCGCCAGACTTGGCCTGGTGTGTTTGAAGTAAGAGCCTGTGTCCTCTTTTGTACGACGCTGTGATGTTGGCCTGGTGTGTTTGAAGTAGGAGCCTGTATCCTCTTTTGTACGGCACTGTGATGTTGGCCTGGTGTGCTTGAAGTAGGAGCCTGTATCCTCTTTTGTACGGCACTGTGATGTACTGCATTTGAGGGTCCACAATTCTCACACGTACACAATTACGCATGTGAGACTTGTGAACCGTCAGATGCAGTACAACACTGTACTTGGTCTACAATTCTCACACATACACACAATTATACGTATGTGAGAATTGTAGATTAACGCTGTACTGCACCTGATCTACTCACTTGAACCAGCACCTGATCTACTCGCTTGAACCAGAGTTGTTTCCGACTTTGGTTTTGTTTCCAATAAGTGACCGCTGTCTTTGTGAAATAATTATGACCGACTTTTTATTGCATCACTTGCATTATGCATGTGTATAATAAGAAGAGAAATGCATACATACTTCTATAATTTTATAGTGACACTTTCCAAGAGTGACTCCAAGAGTGATTCAATTTCACACGTGGCATTCACTGATTGTCTAAACTACACCAAAGAATCGTTAATGTGGAATCCGATAACCATTGACCAGTGGAGTATTATTATTATTTTTAATTATTTTTTGGGTATTCAACTAATAAGGTTTGTTCTCATTTTTGACAATGATCAGTCGAATTTTGAATCCAAATATAGCCTAAAATAGAGGTGAAATGTCTAATTTGCCATTCAATATTTTATTAATTTTTGATATAAAATGTCAAAACAATTAAACGATTGAAATACCCTTCTTAATATTAACTGCATATTAATATATTTTTACTCTTTTTTTTGTCACCCTTTTAGTCTTCCCCCAAAACCATTGCTACCTCCACTAACCGCAACCTCCCCCCACAACCACCACCCACCACCTCCACCTCCACCTCCACCTCCACCTCCACCTCCACCATTACCATCGCCACCTCCACCACCACCTTGTTGAATCTCGGTCTGGACTGTCATAGCCGGCGAAGCCATCTCATATCGAACCGCTTCCTACAAGCCCTCAACTCATAATGTTTCATTCTACACTCTCTCTTTCTCTCAATTTGGGATACACACACACACATATCATAATACACACACACATATATGTGTGTGTGTGTGTATTATGAATTCTAGAAATTTTGTAGTTCCAATTTGTTGTAGTGAAATTATGAAATTGGTGTTCAATAGAATTAAGGTTTTTGCTAATTTAGGGGTTTTATTCCAAACCACTCTTGTATCGGGGTATAATGGAGGCAAGCCACGGGGGTGTTAGTGTAGTTTACCCTGTACTTTTTCATTCTAAAAAGCATCTTCCAAACAAAATTAGTATTAACATGTTCCTAACATCCTGTAGCATGGACACGGATACTTCGACATCCCAAATTATAAAAAAATAGGATACGGGTACGCCTTGGGCACGACTATAAATAAATATGAATTTTTATTTATATACATCTATTGAGTAATAGTATTGTAAAATTTTAGTTCATTTCTAATTACTATACTAAAAGTTGTAACGACTTTTATATCATATATATAGTTATTCCACTACTTTGTCATAATAGTGTTATTATTTTAAATGAACAAATATAATTTAATGATTCGCTTGTGAATTGTGATCAGATGCGTATAATGTCAATTTTTCTTAAAGAAAAAAGTTCTAGCATTTTAGAATGTGTTCATATTATTTTCAATATTACCAAGTAGGCTTGTGTTAGAAATGTTTGAAGGTGTCGGCTTAAGTGTCCAAGAAATGTCAGCGAAGTGTCGAGAAAATGTCCAAAATAATAAAAAAATTTATTTATATTTACCGACAAGTATATGAAGAGTTGGACACTTGTCCACAGAATATCCGACATGAACACATCACAGATACGGCTCCTTTGTAGAAGTGTCTGTGCTTCATTGCTAACTTCTTACTTTCATGGTTGAATAAGAAAAATAGTGTTAATAGTTATGCCAATTGCCTCCTGACTCGAATAGTGTGTGTCATAGTTGTCAAAGGCGCCCGCCTGAGGCGCAAGGCTCCTACAGGTGCCATCATATCGCGTTTAAGGACTTTAAGGCAACTGGGTTGAAGAGGGCACGCGCCTCTGCTACTAAGGCACAAGGCCACAGGCGCAATCGTCTCCTTTTATTGTTATTTCTTATTTGTTTAATATGTTTATTTTATGTTATTTGTTTATTATTACTGTTTTTTACAAAACCAAAACGAATAAAATAAAAGGCAATAGGAAAGTGATTTGAAAGCAAAGAGACTGAAGCAAAAGGAAAGGGCTAGGGCTTGCGACGAATCTGCTGACTGCTCCTCACGAATCTGCCTCTTCTTCTTCTCACGAATCTCTCTTTTTTTCTCTCTTCTTCGGCAGAACTTATTTGAGTTCTCTCTTTTTTTCTCTCTTCTTCGGCAGAACTTAGTTGAGTTTGGCATTTATTTTTCCAACTTACAGATTTTTGCCCTCTTTTGTTTCGTGTCTGGAATTTCCTGCTTTTGCTTCTTTATGTGAAATTACTTGAATTTGGGATTAATATAAAGTACTGGGCCCTGTTTCTCTTAAAAAATTGGGTTCTAATTTTATTTTTAATTTTTAATTTTTATGAAATCTGTTTTATTTTTTTTATGAAATTTGTCTATTTTTTGTATGAAATCTGCAGCTCTGTATTTTTTATTTATGAAATCTGTGTATTTTATTTATTTATTTATTTTTTTATGAAATCTGCAACTCTATTATTATTATTTTTTTTATGAACTGAACTGGAAGTTTGGAACTGGACTGCAGGCTGCAGCTCTGTCTTTTTTTTTTTAATACTGAACTGAACTGGAAGTATGAAATCTGCAGCTCTGTATTTCAATATTGCTTTGAAATTGAAATCTGATTTTGCTAATTGACATGAAATCTGGTTTATTTTGTTACAAAATGATGTTATGGTTATTGATGACGAGGATGATATTTAGATTCGTTGGTGTTGTCTTCTTAGGAAGAAATGATGTCTGTTTGTTTTAGTTTTATCTCATAATTCTCCTTAGTTGACTTTTGCATCTTTATGTTAATATGTTTGATTATTCACTGTTGAACTCAAGTACTTGATTTAGTTGGCTTTGGCATCTTTATGATGAATATTGAACTTAAGTAATTCATTTAGTTGACTTTTGCTTCTTTATATATACTATTGCATCTTTAATACTTTATTGGGTGAGTTTTGTTTTTTTTTTTCAACATGCGCCTTGCTTCAGTCGGGTGCGCGCCTCGCCATGCGCCTCAGGCTCCAGGAGGCCTTTGCCCTTTTTGTGCGCCTTGAGCCTTTAACAAATATGATTATGTTCCATGATGCCTCCTTTAGGGAAATAGTTTGATGAACGTGCTTCTTTCTTCTTGTTATGCAAATGCATTGAATTAAGTGTACTAACAGTTCAATAATCATGATACACTTTCAATCTTCTCTTCTTCTTCTTCTTCTTCTTCTTTTTTTTATTTTTATTTTTATTTTTTTTTCAGTAAGGAACTTTAAATTGTCCATGCTGTTTGACGATGAAGAGACATTTAGCTTCTCTTTGATTAATAAAGAATTTTCAGTCTGTAAGTAGTGGATGCATGATTCCTCTGTCTCTAAACTTAATCAGAGTGTTTGAAAATGTTAAGAAAAATAATTGGGTAGTTTTGATTTTTTGACAGTCCTTTAGGGACAACACAAAAACTGTCCCTAAAGACACCCTTTGTGGTGACAGTCTTAACATTTCCGTCCCTAAAAGACCAAAAAAATAAAATACGCCTCCAATATGATGGTGGCAAAATTTAGCCTATCTTGGCTAGTCATTTTGGTGAAACTGTGATTGACAAACTCTTTGCAAGATTTGCACATCATGTGGCTGAGAATCAGTTCGTGGAGAAACTGAAGTGCTTCAACATAGTTGTTTCTTTAACAAAGAAGTGACCATTCACAAAGGGCAAATAATGGTGTTGCAATTTAGGATTTAGAAATATGCTACGTTAATTAACATGATATATATATATATATATATATATATATATATATATATATCTGTGTGTCTGTGTATGATGTTTTTCTGGCACAATAACAATAATCACTAGCTCAAAATGTTTGGTTGAACACGTAAAGTGCCAGTACTTTATATTTTTGGAATATCCCATTCATTTGTCTTAATTGCTTGTTTGTTGTCCATTTATCATCCTTTCTTCAAATATTACCTATGTTCGGCTTAATGAAATTGGAGAAATATTGGTTCAATTCTAATTCCAAAGCTCCAATTCCAACCGAACATAGAGAGACATCATTCAACTTTTGTGACATGGTTATGTCAAGATACGAGTATGAATCTGTCTACATTATATATTTTACATGCTTGAACACCTCTAATTAGTTCTTGTTAACTGCAGAGTATGGTTTAGGTGGGGAGGTGACAGCAAAAGGCGATGTATACAGCTATGGAATCATCGCTAGAGATGTTTACCGGAAAAGGCCCACCAGCAGCATGTTTTTGGATGATTTGAGCCTCCAGAACTACGCCAGGATGGCCCTCCCAGCGCGGGTGACATAAATAGTCGATCCCCTTCTAGTCGATCCCCTTCTAGTACCGGAGCAGGAAGATGAGTTGAAAAGAGATGAAAAAAGTGGAAGAGGTGACATTGGCGCATTAGAGAACTGTTTGGCAATGATTCTTCAAATTGGAGTCATATGTTGTGCTGAATTGCCAAGACAAAGAATGTTTATTAGAGATGTTCTTGCAGAACTGCATGATATCAGGAATGCATATTTAAGTATTGGAGCAGAGAAGGAGAAGAAAATACAGAATTAAGTAGTAGCTTAGAACACATAACATAGAGACTTCTGTATATGTTTAATGTTTTTGTGAAACAGAAACACTTTTTATATCTATCATTCAAACAAAAAGGCTGAGAAGTTTGCACTGACTTGTAGATTTACTTCGTAGGTTTATTGCGTGCAGAAAATACAGAATTAAATTCGTAGTTTATAGTGTTGGCAAATTTTGACATGACCTGTCAACGTGACTCGAACACGACACGAGTTGAGTGGGTTTGAGTTGACCTTAAACGGATTCATCTCATTAAACGGGTCGACACGATTAATCCGTTTAGTTGATCGTGTTGTGTTTGGATTGAGGGTTCAACTTGTTTGACTATGCGTCTCATAAACAAATTTTTATTTAAGTTCTAAAATAACTATCTAAATTTGTGTCTTATAACTTATTTTTTTTTGTAAATTAGATATTATTTATTATTTTGGTTGGATTGAAACTTATATTTTTATAGTATTTATTATTTGATTGAGTATTATTAATAATATAATATTTTGTTTTAGTAAATAAGTCATTAGTGTAACCCGTTTAATAAATAGATCGGATTAGTATTAAGATTCTTGACACGATTATTAAATAGGTTCGTGTTTGGGTTGAGTTATTTAGTATAATACTCTTAGGTTGCACGATATAATTATGACCCGCAAACACTAATTACCACCCCTAATTTAAATTATGTGGTAACTAACGAATCAATTATTATAATCGTGAATTTTTTCAACCTAGAGCATAAGTCCCAAGATGCAAAGATACTACAACATAATTAAAAAAAAAATGAGTTTTTGTGAACTTTAGTGATTTACTTATTTTTATTGAACTACAGTTACTTTTATTGAATTTTTTTAGGGTATTTAGCACAGGCAGTGACAATTGACCTATTTATGAATTTTAAGTCATCGTGGTTATTGAAAAGACAAGATGATTATACTTTTTACTGAATTAATGAATGAACATAAATTTAAGTATGAAATAAATGAAAATTCACCCCATAAAAGTATAGTACTTTTTCATTCATCGATATTGATTCCTTTGTTGTTTGTAATTGGATCTCCACGTGCATTTGTTTTCTATATTTACAAGAGTGGACAGCCGAAGACTAAAGCATTAGCCCAGTCAGTCAGTAGTTCAAAATAAGCCCACCCAAAGGAGGCCAATTTTTTTTTTCCCCCCTTAAATATGCGAATGAGATGGCAAATTTTTCCGTCCCGTCCCTCCCCGCCCCGCCTCGTTTATAAAGGGAATGAAAATTCTTTTAAGTAAACGGGAATCGGGATAAATAATGAAAATTCGTCGGGGCCGAGAAGGGGGTAAACTTGCCCTGCCCGCCTCAATTAAGTATGAAATTACTAATATACCTTTACATATAATAAATTATTACTAAATTAGATTTAGTATATATATGAACATTTTGTCTAACCCTAATCCTAGCCACTTGGCCCACTTCGTTTCATTCTCTCTAGTTTTAGAGAGAGAAACTGAGCAAGCGACCACAGTGGCACAGCCTTAGGCCGCCACAGCTTGGCACCCACCCTGTCAATTTGTCATCCTCCCTCAAACACCGGTGTCATCAGATCATCACTCAAGTCACCGACTCACAGGCGTCCAGTAAGTTATTTCACCTGCTCTGTTAAGTGTTGAGATCTCTTTGTTTCTCAGATTTACTGGGTCTTATGTGCTTCTACTATTGCTAATCTATATTTAACTGTTTATCTCCTACTTCCTCTTTAAGCCATAAGCTTTCTTTTCGGAGTTCGTAAGATTGGATTCATCGCGTGACTCGTGTCAACGATCTGCTCTCTGCGGGATCTTCTGATTCTTCTTCTTGGATTTTCGCTGTAAGTACTTGCAATTTGTTAATTTTTGTTTGTTTTGAACCTTTTGGACCTCAATTTTGTGGGGTTTTCTTCTTTGTTTTCGATTGGTAATTACTTGTGTTGACTGTTGTTTTGTAATATTATTGAAAGTTTTCCTGTACCCTCTGTTTAGTTACTGAGAAAAATAGAGGAAGGAAGAAGTAAAAGGAAAATTGTAACAGGGGCGGGACGGGGATAAGGTGGCGGGGACTAGTATGAAGATTTGACAAAATTTTAAGCGGGAACGGAGAATGAAAAATTAATAGGAAATAGGGATGGGAAATGAAATTCCCAAACAAGCGCGCCGGCTTAAAAAATGGTTTTTTATTTATTTTTAATTGTTTTCTATTAATTGTATTGTTTATTGTTATATTATTATTATTTATATTATATTATTTTATTAGTTAATATAATAGAAAACCTACAAGTTACAAAACATTTAAAAAAAAAAAAAAAAACCAAAAGGCAAAAGGAAAGAAGACACAGGCAGCGAAGCCGCGAAGGCGATATCTGCGGACTCTCGGATCTGCCGGATCTCCGGTAAGTTCTCCTTCTCTCTCTTATTCTTCTCTTCTTCTTCTCGGATCTGCCGGATCTATCATCTCTCAGTCTCAGTTTTTTTTTTTTTTTTCTCCCGGCTCTCTCGACTCTGGCAGATTTATTTATTTATTTTTTTTCTCGACTCTGGCAGATTTATTCTTCTTTTTATTATTATTTTTTTATTAGCAGTTCGTTGTTTCTGTATCATACATTGAGCTAATTGTATATTCAATTCAAGAGTATATTGTGTATTTTGTTTAGCAGTTTGTTTATAGATTGAAATCGACTGTCAGCTAATTACTCTGATAATGTAAATCTTGTATGCTTTACGTATCATCTTTCAAGATTTGTGCGCCATTCATGCTCAGTGAAACTATGCTACAGTATGGGGTTGCCCTTGTCATGTTGATTCCTGTCAGGAATTTTAATTTCGAACTGTTTGTTTTAAGTCTTCAATTTTTGGTTCAGAATGTGATCCCATTTACTAACGAGAGATGGAAATGTTTATGGTAAAAGAAATTTCATATAAACATTTTGTTTACGGTCGAATTTTATTTGCTAAAAAGTAGACAATAAACCTTATTATCATCGTTGTCATGTATGGTTGAAAAAGTGAGTGATTGGAACATGGACTTAAAATAATTCATCACCCAACATGGGATAAATATGTATATACTATTGCATCTTTAATACTTTTAATACTTTATTGGGTGAGTTTTTTTTTTTTTTTTTTTTTTTTTTTTCTTCTTCAACGTGAGCCTTGCTTTAGTCGGGCGCGCGCCTTGCCTTGCGCCTCAGACTCCAGGAGGCATTTGCGCTTTTGTGCGCTTTGAGCCTTTAACAACTATGGTGTATCGGCCCCACAGCACACACAATTTTGTTCCATGATGCCTCCTTTAGGGAAATAGTTTGATGAACATACTTCTTTCTTCTTGTTATGCAAATGCATTGAATTAAGTGTACTAACAGTTGAATAATCATGATACACTTTCAATCTTCTCTTCTTCTTCTTCTTCTTCTTCTTCTTCCTCTTTTTTTTTTTTTTTCCTCAGTAAGTTACTTTAAATTGTCCATGTTGTTTGACGATGAAGAGACATTTAGCTTCTCTTTGATTAATAAAGAATTTTCAGTCTGTAAGTAGTGGATGCATGATTCCTCTCTGTCTCTAAACTAAATCAGAGTGTTTGAAAATGTTAAGAAAAATAATTGGGTAGTTTTGATTTTTTGAGTCCTCTAGGGACAACACAAAAACTGTCCCTAAAGACACCCTTTTTGGTGACAGTCCTAACATTTCCGTCCCTAAAAGACCAAAAAAATAAAATACGCCTCCAATATGATGGCGGCAAAATTTAGCCTATCTTGGCTAGTCATTTTGGTGACACTGTGATTGACAAACTCTTTGCAAGATTTGCATATCATGTGGTTGAAAATCAGTTCGTGGAGAAACTGAAGTGCTTCAACATAGTTGTTTCGTTAAAAAAGAAGTGACCATTCACAAAGGGCAAATAATGGTGTTGCAATTTAGGATTTAGAAATATGCTATGTTAATTAACATGATATATATATATATATATATATATCTATGTGTGTGTGTGTGTGTGTGTGATGTTTTTCTGGCACAATAACAATAGACACTAGCTCAAAATGTTTAGTTGAACACGTAAAGTGCCAGTACTTTATATTTTTGGAATATCCCATTCATTTGTCTTAGTTGATTGGATTGATAGTTTGGAATGTTTTCTTTCAATTTCTTGTTTGTTTCGTGCCGCAGATATTCTCTTCAAGGACTACCAGAGCGACCAGAAGTTTAGTGTCACTACTTACTCTTCTACTGGTGTTGTAAGTGTTTTTTATTTTTTATATTTAAATTTTTTTCCGTTGCTTCTTATATCTGTATATTTGCTTTTTTGATTATTATGGCCTTGTACATATGCGTGTGCGGGCATTTGTATTATCATATTGTTATACCCTCTTTGATCTTTGTTTCACTTTCAACTTTTGGTGTATGTGGTTAATGCATAGACTTAAAACATGTGTGTGTGTGTGTGCATTTATTATCATTTTGTTCCACATTAACTTTGGTATATGTTGTGCATGGTTTTACTTTTTGTGAACTTTTTTATCACGTCTTTGTTTATCCATTTTAAAAATTGGGTGCTGGTATGCTTTCTAGTTTGCTGGCTTTCTAGGATGTATAACTATGAACTTTCTGAGCAATTTTTGGCATTCTGGGTGCGAGTCCTTTATATTTTTTAAGTCACCTACTTGCCTATGCATTGTATACAATTTTTTAGAAACCCGCCCGTATTGCATCATCTGTTGAAGCCGTCACCCCATCAAAAATAATTCTCCCCATGCTATTCCCTCTTCTATGAGCGTTAGCTAACCTGTGGCAAAATTTGGTATTCCGATCCCCATCTTTAAGCCATAATGCTCTAAATTTCTGCCTCCACCAGATTTCTTCCATCCTCACGATTTCTTCAAACCGTGCTTTACACTCCTCCCTCCTATTTCTTTCCAATGTATCTAGTCCCTCCATCCCCTCCTCCTTATCCAACTCTGATATATCAGTGAGCATACGATTCTTCCTCCACTCTAGCATACCAAACTCCTCCTTATTCCATACCTTAATGTCATTCTTCAAACATTTTAACTTTTCTGCAATTTGAAAACTGGGACTTCCCCTTAAAGCTTACTCACC